ATTCAATAAATAGCTTAAATTAGGGATAAATTGAGCCTAGAATTCAGAAGCCCACACTCCTATTATCTAATTAAATTGTCTCTACGAGTCTTTGTTTTGTAGTGAATTTAAAACTGAAGTGCATAATTGGGATTCTTAAGTGATTTGGAGTTATGTCTTTTTTTTAGATAACTAGAATTGTTATTAAACCGGACTATAACACGAGGTACCACATGTTCACGTATTTCGGAAAGTCCACACACAACTACTTATATTTTACTGAATATGCTGAATTGTTGATAACATGTAATATACGTCACGCCATTAAAGGAGTTAAATCGCTAATATTTGGGACCTAGAAATGGACACAAATGAGTCGCAAAGATTATATTTCAGATTAATTAGGTTGTTCAATTTATAAAACTGTGATGTCAAATACGAAATTGACAATATTTCATTTTACAAAACGCATGTTAAGGTGTTTTTTTTATTTTATTATTATTGTTGTTATTGGTTTGCGACGATGCTGCTATATGGAGCATTGCCATGTGAGAATTTGCAAACTTAAAGTTTTATTATCACGATAATTACTAGTAACAATTCAAACAAATAGCAAAAATAATTTCTTTAATTGGGTTTCTTAGTTCATTAAACTTTAGAAACCACTGGCCATAATACACGGTACATTGTTCCACCATTAGCAATATAGACCAAATAACATACACGTCATACGTCATTAAAATGATTTAGAATAATGCATGTTCTATCGAACCAGTAATCCATACCGAATTAAAAGACTATTAACCTTACTGATAGTCCACAACAAATATGCCAGTACATCAGGTTTTAATAACCCTTAATAAATCTAATTCCAGTCATACAAAAGACATTAGTCCCTTTATTTAATAATAAAACAGTCTCTGGTAATTGATTGGCAAGATTTCTAGAATGAGCCTAGTTTGTAATGGTCCGGGTTTCTAATGTCCGCTAGTTCGCTTCCACAGCACGGGTCGATTACATTCTCAATAGAATCGGCGACTTCAAAAAAACTCCTTTCTTCTCAAAACATTGTTTAGCACTTACACCAGCATGTAATAGCGGCTTCAAGAACCAATTCGTTTTCAATGAGTTGAATTCACAAAATGGTTGATAAATGTCCTTGGTATTTACTATAGAGTGTGATCGTGTTAGCTAATTCATTTTCTACATAATCATTCCGACATATTAAAATCTAGGTTTTGTGTCGAAGGTTTTAATTGTTCAGTTGAATCAAGGAGCAGTAACGTGTAACAGGGAATATTAACAGCGTTAAGTCAGACTAAAGTACATCAACGTAAACATACTGTTACGGGATATTCATGTAAACCAGGTAAATGCAATTGATATAATAGGTATATATGTATACATTAGATGTATTTATGTGTTGTATTTATTCTTTATTTAATTTTTTACAAACGGATATATTCCTTTGGGATATCTTAAAACCAATTTAAAAATGCGTCTACGTTGTGGGATAATCTTACCCACATAATAATAATTTAATTTATTTGATAGTTTGCCTAAAACCCAACTTCGGTTAAATTGCTCAGTAGTGTGGACTCTCCGGAAACTGGGAACATAGTAATGGCCCCAATAAGGATATGGTATGTATTAAATTCTAATGGGCAGGGAAAGACTATAAGAGAGAGAGAGAGAAATGGGGTTTAACGTCCACTCGACACAAACTAGGTCATTTCGGGACTAACATATGGTTTAATTTTATTTCAAGAATTCGCTTGCGCGTAGGGGTCTTTAGCAGTGGGAGGAAACCGGGACTATAAGACGAAAGGCAATATCGAGATAATATAGCTAGTGAACTTCCTAAAATGTTAAAAATACCCAATGGCGATTATATAAATTATTACCGGATTTAACCGACCGATTTTATAGGTCGAAATAGTGCACTAGATAGGGCGTACTCACCTTATCTTCTTTCGAGAGAATAACATCTATGGAACGGGTTGATTCATTTCCGGTAAGTCTGGATTATTTGTTGGCCGGTATATTGTCGGACTTACATTTTAAGACACCAGTTTTCGTCTTGGTCAAATCTATGTTCATACAAGTCAGTGATTGACTCGAGGAAAGTATTTGGCATTGTATATTCGAACTGGATCGGTGGAAGATTGACTATCCCCGATTCTACTGAAGTTGGTAATTTAACATACATGTACTGTATCTGATTTTGATCCGAGTGTTTGTGGTTCGAATTGTAACAGGTATGTTTGTCGTGTATTTTGTACACGGTGAACAGTCCATATGCTGATTACACTATTTTGCCTGATTACATTATTTTGCCTTTTTTTATTATTTTTTTTTTAGGACTTCGAATTTTGTCTAATGGTTTGGATTGTTCGTACTTGGTTTTATTTTATTATTGTCGATATTTATTACTTTATGGCGTGTTAGTATAAGTTATGTTCGACCGTTTATGTGTGATTTAAACATTGTCTAAAATTCGTAAGTCACAGAAAAGGCTTGTTAAATAGAACAAAATGAAAAGCACATGACAAACTTAGGACTGTGTAAGGCAGACACGGAAACATGTGCGTTTAAGATTATGGTATGATAGAAAAATATTCAACTGACTGCGATTTTTGTTTTAGTCCTACGTTTTTGCTTAATCTATACTGTCAATTATTACTCCATCGCCAATATACATTTCTAAATATTCCAATCCTAGATAAAAAAAAAATACTAACCAAAGCACGTCAGCGATCTTTAAACTTAAATGTGTTTATTATCATTAATCAAAGATTTATCTGTTTCTCTGACCCAACTACCCGACAATAGCTGCACATTTGATGTGCGGTTAATGCTGAATTATTATTGCAAATTGCCAGAAAGCACACGGTCGCGTTCTACTTAGGTCTGTTTACGAGCGATCTACTCTTTATTTGGTTGTTGAATTACTGCTGAAGTTTAAATTACAACCTTTGCTTGCCAACAGCAAAATATATGGAGCGCAGTCGGCATCAAATAATGAAAGGAGGCAAACATCCTAAAGGCTATTTTCTCGTATAAAACATGCATCTGCAATAAGAATTCTTTGAGGAAGTCGATTTATCCTAGGACTTGTACATCAGTTGGTTAAAGTACACGTTTCGTATAATATCGGTCAAGCCTACATATAACTTAAAGGGCGTTTGCTCTGTTTTTTTGGAACCTTGAAACCCACTAAAATGGTTCTAAAAGCATATATTAATGTAATGATTTATATTCAATTTTTGAGAAAAAAAAACTTGTAATTTCTAATCAATTATGTTCGTTGACATACGTGAACAGTTCAAATTAAATAACAGTCGTTTACGCCTGCTTAGTACATTCTACACGGTTTTTTTTCAATTATTATTTTGTCGTTTGTGAATCAGTGTTTACTAATTACTTCCACATTATGTTGTGCGAAATGTTTTTATTTGTTCATTACAAAATCTCTTAATTATTGGATATTAGGATCCGGTAGTTTCACAGTTAGATAACAACATCAATATTGATTGAAATTGATCAATATTGAAGTCTAATTCATGTTTTTAATTTCGAATATTATGGAAAATATTGAGTTAGAGACTTGTGGCATCCAAATACATTTTCTGAAGTTCAATAATATATCAAATCGCGTATTAATATTGTATCACTGCATTAAGAAAAGCAAACTAATGTATAGTTTTGAGCACACATTGTTAATTACCATTACCAGTGAATTTGGGGTGAAATGTGACACTACAATGTACTTCTAACGACTAAAGATACATTATGGGAAATTAGATAAAGAGCCGGGAGTTTTTAACTATAATAGTTAGAAACTAGATACTGTAAAGGGAATTTGCTGAAAATTTCAGTCAAATTGATTCACTCTGAACCGAGAATTTAGCGATTGAATTTTCGGCCTAGCCTCGATCATCTTTACTAAAGTCGGTACGATAAAAAACATAGTCTCGATTATTTATTTCATGATTAAATCATGAATGAAAGTTGAGCAGCAAATCGGATACTAATCCAGTAAATATCGCAAGCTATCGATAATTGATTATGGTCTGGATAAGTTAATAATGGCTAATTAACAATTTAGATAACATTTCAGGCCTAAAGAAAGACCTGCAGTATGCAGATTTAGCTCTTGCATAATGTATGTTTAAGTCAAATTATACACTGTACTAGAACAGGATATGTTGGTAATGATACAGAGATGTATATTCGAATCGGGATATGATATATAGCTGAGAAAGCAACAAATGGGCGGTCAGATTTGAGTTTGCTTGGAAGAGATTTATTACTTGCCGTTACTGATGATACTGCCAACAAAATATTATTAAATGTGCCCCCGTGAGTCCAATAAGCTCAGTCTGATGCTGATTAAAAGCTTGCTCGTCTTTGGATAATGCTCTTATTTTTAACAATATGGTCTAAATTGTCGCTACTAAATGACATACGCCAGACATAATAATAATAACATAGTCCATGAATATCACCGTATAAAAATATAATATAATATTAAGAAGATATGCCACATTCATTTGTAATAAAAGATTTTAGAGGGGAATTAATTTAGACTAATGACCAATTTGAAAATAGGCAATTTGATTTTGAAGAGAGTCTAGAATTATTTTATAAAATCTTAGCAGTCACCATCGAATTGATCACTAAAACTTAAAAATATTAAAGAAGGGACTGTAAACAAGTCAGTGTATATCAGTTCTACAAATAGCAAACCATTTGTTATACAGACAGTATATACGTCTAGACATGGGTATTGTTTCAGATGGCGTGCTTACCGTACATCCACGTGGTTCTATTCATGTCCGTAAATTCTTGAATAAGATCACCGACTTCACGTATAATCCTGTCTAATTACCTACATATATTATAATCACATATAATCATTATGTAGGTAGAGGCGAATCATCCTTTGTTTCGGGAATCAATGCTATTGTAACACTAAATTATGCATCCAAAAATGAATTAGTCTTTTGATATCGTTGCAGGATGATGGTGAAGGGTGACATATGTATTTTGATTCTGGTTTTATTGACGGTTGTGGAAAGCAAAAGATATCCACGGCGCAATAGGAACAAAGAAAAAGATGAGGCTCAGAGAGATGAAGGAGAACCGCACTGTGAATTAGAAGTGGCATGTCGAGGTGAAAAGAACATACCAATCACCTTACCAATTAGAGGCGCCAAAGGACCACAGGGTAAAAATGGTCAGAAAGGCGAGGCTGGTGAACCCGGATCACCAGGTATACCTGGTAGAGAAGGTAATAATTATTTTTTTTTATGGTGGGGCCCAACATGGTGAAGGTATCTCAAAGTTGAATCTCTAATAGGAATATCAGGCCACATATTGTTCAATTTCGTTCGGTATTGACAAATATGTCGAGCTGTTCATGCTGTTCCCTATATGTAAATGGTACACGTTATTTTCTCTTTTCTTGCTTCATTTTCTTGGCCGATTCGGTCTACTCTTTTTCGGACTTTGAATTATCCGCCATGTTGCATCTATCCTAAGTAGCGGTTAGATCTAAATATTAAGGCCACCTGCAGATTATCGGTGTTAATAAACCTACGCTGATGAGATAATAACTATTATTTAGTTTTTCGACCAAAATTAGATTTCAAGATAATTTAATCTCTGCGGGTTTCTTCTAACTTAAATATGAATATGCAGATTTGTCTCCCGTCTTCATTAGCCCAGTATAGGAACAGAACAGTAGGACGTTAAACCCCATTTCATTTCATTTCATTTCGCAGATTTGTCTGAATTGTTGCATACTTTGTAATGTAAACATGTCCAACGAAACATTGCCGACCAGAGGCGATAACCAAAGTGTCTTTTAATAAATCTACGTTGATGAAATAAGTAAAAACAAAACCCCAACACATTCCTCGCAATGCGTTATACGACATTGTTAGCTGCATTTTACATTTTATGATCATTACCCCAAATTATGTTGAATGTGATCTTATTGACATTTAATTACCTTTTATTAATTACATTTAATAAAGATTTCATAGTATTATGGAATTTAAATCTAAGTCTTTGTGGTCATGGCCATGATACAGTTCTGGTATCTACTATCTGCACCTATAGTGTGATACCGAAGAGTAAGACAAGAAGAAACAGACTGTTTGAAACTTATAAATGCCGATATCCCGCAACAGGGAACGACTGGGGTAAACTGTTCACTAACAAGCTCCGAGAGAGAGATAGAGAGAGATGGCGTTTAACCTCCACTCGACACAAACTAGGTCATTTCGGGACTAACATATGGTTCAATTTTATTTCCATAATTCGCTTGCGCGTAGGGGTCTTTAGCAGTGGGAGGACTCCTTGTCACGTACAACCGGGGAATCGAAACCACGCCAGTTGACCCACTGACAGGCTTTATGATACAACGGATCCGAAATAACAGACAAAAAAGATATAGCTGTCAAGTGTTGTCAATTCCATTTCTCACGAAAGCGGCCCTTTTCATAGCCCCTTATAGCAGATATGCTTTTATGAATTATTGTATACTTTTGTTTATTTCTAGGAAGGTCTGCGCCACCTGTACTGCGGGTAGCTTTTTTCGTTGGTTTACAGAAAAATCAAGGTCCAGTAACTGAGAATACGGACTTGGTGTTTGACAGAGTCATTACTAACGTTGGTAAAGTGTTTAATCAAGATACTGGCCGATTCACAGCCACACATAATGGAACGTATCAGTTCAACGTTGTGGTAGCAGCACAAGGTAGACAAAGGGTGAGTATCCTAATCAAAATCTTTAGGCGGAGCCGTTGTATTTAAAAGATTCGTTATTTTCTTTATCCTAACAATAGATGCGATAACAATTTGAATGTATACGAATACGGCTTTTAATACATATTTTAAAATAGGTTCTCCACCATCAACAAAATCAGGAGTGGTGACGCTTGTACGCTACGAACTACGTTGGTATTTAATAAGTGATTTATCTCCCCTTGCCTAAACTATTTCCCAGGCCTAAATAGGAGGACGGGTGTGCGCAAATATATATTGCAAGTTGAATTAACCATTTAAGACTACAGTCAGCGAACTAGAAATCAATACTGGCATGTGTTAGTGAAAAAAACATGTCACCTGCAGTGTAATTCCACTGGGATATTTGGTAATAGTTGGTTAGAGTTTCGAAAATAAAAGTGTGATTAATAGCAGACGTAAAATATATACATTTGTAATAAAAAATATTAATCATACATCATCTTATCGTTCATCTTTTAAGAGCAATGTTATTCTGTCAGATATGAAAATTGCATACTTTACGCAGCATATCAAAGTAAATTTATAAATAGTTTGAAAATGATATATAATAATATATTATGATACATTTTCAACAAAGGAAAAACAGTAACAACGTTTCTATTTTTTTTGTCTTTGAACTATCAAGAAATTTAAAATGATTCGCTAATAAATAACAAATATTTCAACGCATTTCATGTCACCTATTTCATCCAATTGTTCCTATAAATCGTAATGGGATGCGGCAGTTGTATTTGGCGCACTAACAGAATCGCCCATCAAAATTTGTTGAATATACATGAAATCACTACCACGACTTGTCGGGATCGCCAAAAATGTAGCCTAATTAAGCAGGCATTTTGTATCGTAAAAGATAAATAAAAACAAGAAATCGAAAACGAGACATTTTGTTTACTTTTAAAAGGGCAATAACTATTAAATCGCGTATCCCCGGTGTAATATTACGTACTGTAGACGCAACGCGTTTTCAATTGAAACATAGTGTAGACTTTAAGTTCATCCGATACCATTCTTTTCAAAACTGATAGATTAATATTATTTTATTGGACCAGGCTATTATGTTCGTCATTATTATTAAAGGAATGATAATCTAGAAGGCTGGGGTAAGGATTGAATAACACCAGATAATCTAGAAGGCTGGGGTAAGGATTGAAAAACACCAGATTCGCTTTTATTGGCCGAACAATTCATATTTATGTTAGTGTGTACATATAAACCTTGTTGTTTTCAGGCTGCAGTTAATCTTGTTCGAAATGGAGAAATGGTTGCCACAATCTGGGCTGAAAGCATCCCATACTGGGCATCAGCATCTAATTCCGCCATTTTGGAATTGAAAGGAGGAGATCAAGTCTGGTTGGTGTTGCTGAGTCGCGCACCTTACATCCACGGATACATGTACTCCACGTTTTCAGGACATTTATTGTTTCCAGCCAAAGAGTAAATAAAAAAACACGCAATTTTCTGTTTGGTTCAAGATTGGTTGTGCGAACAATAAGATAACTGATTTATTTACATTAATTAGTGTTAGATTGTTCTGAAGAGGGTTGGCTTTGTAATTGTGTAGAATGTTCCAATGATTTTGCCTTGATTGTAACATTTCTATTATTTCAAACATAGTTGTTAACGAAGATTAATAAAATACCATAGAACATATCTATATATATACACAGGTATCTGTATATCACGCACATTCATATTGTTAGGAATTGTGAAATAGTTCAAAGAATATTGAAAGATTTATTGTTTGGGATAAAGGGGAATAACTCGTATGGTTGGACCACTCTGCAATAAACATGCTAATGTTTACGTTTTTAAAATCAAGAGAGGGAATATGGTCGATCATTGTCAATGATAATATTCTTTAGTAGGTTTAACTTTTTATACCTGTAGGTAACCCTATTTATATATTGACGCTTTTTATATCTCTTAGTATGTGATGGTATCTGTAAACTTAATTAAAGACCTTCTCTTATAATCCAATTGTTAAGCTAGTTGGCTAGGGCAGCATTCCTAAACTCGGGATATGTGATTCTATTTTCATCTGGTTATTTTCATGGAGGTGAGTGGGGAAACATTGTTCCTGGGTATTTGTTGTGCGAAAGTGCTGCCAGTTGACAACCGAAAGTGTGAGTGGAGGTTTTAACCCTTTTCTATTACTGTTTAGAATGAATTGTTATAGTGATATATTGCTGTTATTTTTATTGTTAAAAGATGGTCTTAGTTGTGGGTAAAGATTACATGTTTGTTCTCTAAGCACAAACTAGGCTTATGACGTCAATGTGAATTAATTTTGTCCTATTTCTCGTAAATGGAACCATATCATCTTCTTGTTAACTTTAAATGTGATTTATTTAGAAATAACGTTCACCACGGTTGTTGTTGGTTAGTTGTTAAAATTATATTGTAATAAATATTTATACCATTAACGTACTTTAATGTACTTTGATATATACCATATGTAGTCACTAAACAATTCTACATTTAGAAATTGCGATGGTTGATTCGGTTTTATCTCAACGGTGACATCGGCGCGAACACTTCAACACTCGGCATGGATTTGCTGCAGCGTTCATATTGAAGTCTTTCTGGCAAAGATGATATTTGTTGATAGTCAGGCTACTGAGACAGGGAAGTTTAATATCGACAAATAACGAAATATTATGTTTTAACGTGTAACAATTCTTTGTTTACAAATCAGTAATTTACAAATGCCAAAATTATTTAAAACTTAATAGAAATAAGGCTAACTCCATCTGGCACATGCTACAGCCAGAAAACATATGGCCTACTGGATGTTTTTTAATCGTATTTACTTGGGAGTTTGCTGCAGTCATTTCAGCTAACAAAAAGCTATGTAAATATTGTTATGTTACTATGTTTCTATATTCCATACCTGTTCATGGCTCAAAGCTGTTAATTATTTATGGCAATTCCTAGTGGAAGATTTATTTTTTGTATAGAAACCCAGACAAAGGTAATTTTTTTTTTTAAAAAAAAACCCATCTCACTATTGTTTGTATAGGCCAAGCTATATTCTTTTCAACCATTTACCCATTATTTTACTCGATTGTACACCATATTTAACATGCTTCAAAATTCTGCAATCGGAAATGATAGTTTCAACCAAGCAGTCCTTTGGTGTTTTATTTCGGCAATTTGATGCAAACAGAGGCAGATATATCACAGGTTATTATGATTGTCTCGTGGTGTTTCTCCGGTGCCCATCCTCCGACGTCTAAAAGATCCCTGCGTCATGCAAAGTATTTACATATGCTATGTTTCAACATTATAATCATAATCATAATGATTAACCGGTGTCAAACATATACCGTGGGTCAGATATGCTAAAATCGATTCTAGCATTTTCCACACAGCTCCATATTACCCGGCGGCACTGGGAGCGACTGTCACCCCACCCTTCCCCCCACACACAAATAAATATTGTTTCTTGGGGGCTGGGACTGTATCTTCTTCCTCATGCAAATCATTAAAGTTTCTCGCAATCCTTCTTCTACAACATCGCCCAATACCTATCGCACGTACTACTTTCTCATCTTAGTACAACAGCAACGCACTTCACTAAAAATTCGGGTGAATTTTAAGAGAAAAGTTATACTTTTTAGATATATGTATCCACGTTTACTAATATACCACTATCCACCGACAACTTCCTACGCTTGTTAAAACGATAGATCTATTCCAGTATGTGATGGACTCGCATGTTCCACAGAGCCCAATATTATCCGGTAGCACTGGAGAGGGGGTGGGGCTGCCACGGCCTCCCCTCCCCCACATAAAAGTATTGTTTTTTAGGCCAGGGCGGGATCTTGTTCCACATGCAAAATCATGGGTCACCACGCCCCTGCTGTAATTAACGAATAATTAGACGTGGCACTAATTTCTGTAAATGTATAGCGGATGAGAACATGACAAGTCCATTTCCAAATATTGATAGGGTGACCCATGTCCTCTACAGAAATACAGTTCACCGCTGATAGTTCGAGACTACCACTGAAGCGTGCACATTCGCCGTGCCGAGACCAACTTTCTGACAGTATGATACTATAAATAGCCATGGCACGTGCAATTCTCTACACATCTATCAACTATTACAGCCGTAAAAAATTTATTGTTGACGATTTTGAATAGCAGTGAAATTAAGCTTCTTGGTTATTACAGGAGATTTAGAAATTACGTTCGTTTCATTTTTTAAATCGCTTTATCATTAACTGTACCGTTAAGAGCGGCATCTTTTGATTTAGTACAAATAATATCTCTGAATCACTCGGGTTAAGACAGGAACATGATACTAGCAGTAGTTCCATTTTACTTTAACAAGGTTCTTAAAACGATTGTTGAGCTACCTAACGTGCTTATTTCTAAATTCAATTTCTTGTTCTAGCTTTCTGTTATGTTTCGTAAAAAAGTAGTCTTGATTATCCCGACCTGTCAATCAGACGTAGAATGGTCGATAGACTGTTTAAGCGAGACTAATTTCAAAACAAGGGCACGTAACCTATCTTTTACTCAAAAGTGTCTGGATGTTATGGACGACACTTGGAACCAGTTTTCAGTCTATTATTTATAGATGATTAATGGTCATAGCTTATTAAGTACAACATGATCGTTTATTTAGTGACTATAATTGTGTGAAACTGACTTGAGGCTTGGCATATATATAAATATTGTTGCGTAGTTGTCGAGATATATGGAGATATATGGAGATATTTATTTTTGGTGGGTCACCCTAATATTGATGACCAAGTTACAAAACAGGGACTGAAGCTGTTTTAAGGAAACTAACGGCGATATCAAACCAAACTGCAGAGGAAACTGTCGGGGTTCCTGCTCACATACCCTGCAATTGATAAAACATTTCCTAAATTGTTATTTTGGAAATGTCCTACGAGTACACAAACGCATAGGATCCTAACATCAACGTTTACACGAAGCTATCATAGATAAGTTTATATAGTCCTAACTGGGATCTAAACTGCAGAGCTATCCACTTTAGCCGTCATACAATACCTTCTGGCTTGATGTACGAAACGACTAGAGTAAACACTAAACAAGGTCAAATCACAATATTTGTACAATTTTTTTTTTGTTTCTGAACTATGTATTGTGTTTGTTGTAACAATGGTTCGAATCCCCACCCACCCAAAGTTATACAAAATCCAGATAAGAAATGGAAAAAGAAAAAGTGTAGAATTCCAGATAAGAAACGACGAGAAAAATCAACATACTTCCGATGCAAAAAATGTACAGAAAAAAAACCATAACTGCAGAAAGGCTGCCAATGTTTTTGGCATTTTATAAGCCCACATTTTCATGTGGACGTATATTGTCGTCGCCCCTGTCCGTCCGTTCGTCCGCAATTGTTTGTGAAAATTCTACAGGTCACAATTTTTTTATCTTATTTCAGGCCTTATGGTGCAGCGCTAACCATTCGACCAACCAACACCCCTGAAAAGGAAAGACGATTCTTAAAACACTTATTACCGTCCCTCAAGGAACGCCGAATGGTCTCTGATAGATCGATTCAGCTATCAGAGATAGCCTTTATTCCACCAATTAGTTTGATAACCACGAGGGGAAATGGTGTTTCTTGAATTAATGACTGCATTATGTTCTTTGCCTTTCCTTTTTGTGCTATCTTATAAAACTTATACGCGTTTGAAACCATTATTATGTCTTGGCTATAAATATTGCTACATGTTATTTAATAATTGTGATATACGCAATTCATTTTGAACGGTGAACATATTCGATGAAGATTTATGCCGGGGCTATAAATATTGCCAAATATGTTATTTACATATGTTCGGGGGAAGTCAAGTATACTTTTGTCGTATAGTCGTGGCCATACAAGAGCACCCAAAGGCTGCCCAGGTTTCTGCAACAAAGTAGACCATTAAACAAGATTATTAACATGGGCGGCGAATTTTCAATTGTTCTTTTCGTTAAATAATCAGAACGTTTTCGCTCTGAATAAAGTCGGTGGAGTTTAACCGGACAATAAGTAAACATTTGCACACGTTTTAGTTTAGGTCAGTTTCAGTCGAAATCATTTGAGAAGCGGGGTAGGTTTTCTGTGCAATAACATCGAGCATGGATAATATTATTTCGTAACATGATCTGTAAAGACGCCACTCCTATGCACGTGTGTTGATCCGACAGTTTGACTCGACAGGTTCCAATGTTACAAGTAATTTATAGCACTATTTCATAATTTAAAAGGTTTAAGCACCGAGACCGTCTTGCTGAGGTGTTAAACCTGTTAACGAATGGAATTTCATTAAAAACAAATGTTAAAGAATACAAAAATTTCATTATTTCAGTATTCATAATTACATATTCAAGTTTATGGTTATCTAAACAAACCAAAGGCTTGAGTTAATGTTATCAGTCGAGTTCGTGAAAAATCTAGCTGAGGATCTGATCTCCCGCTGTTATGAAAGGAATTGTCACAAATGTTCTGGTTTTGTTGTGTGGCAATTTTCAGTCATTTGTAATTACTGCGGTTTCTTCAATAGTTGGAAGCATAACATATGCCTCTACCTTTCATTCCATTACATATATTTAAATCAATTTAATCGATTAAAGTAATAAGACCATTCAGTGTCGGCTACTGTACTAAAAGGGAAAAATGTAGTCGTTCCTGATTTAAATGCCTTTTTATCAATAGTCTGACAATTGTCATAACCATGGTTTCTTCTGTACTTAAAAGCATAGCATCTAGTGTTGGCCATACAGGCTTTACAACATAAAATGCGACTTCTTTCAGTAAAAGTCGTTGATTCTACATCAAGTCTGTAACCAGAGGTTCTAGTAAATACTGAAAGTAAATAAAATGATCTTAAACGTCATATTTTTCTCCTCCGACTAAACGTTATTTTTTTTAAAAATATATCTGAACAAAACTAAATATAAGTTTAAAGGACAATATTGGTGTCAGTCATTATAAAATATGTGATAGAGCTCGTTGAATTGTGAGATACCCTCTCACCGTCCCATATAATAACTTTTCAACTTCAACGGAATTATCAGTGAAATGAAATTCGATCGTTTGTCTGTTACCGCTCGTTACTTCAGTCTGTTATATAGAAGGACAACTCGTGTTTGTCATGTTTGGCGTCACTTCCTGTTTCTTCACGTGCTTGTTACAAGTCTCCGTAGCAATGATCTCTGTGTTAAAATTATATTTGGAATGTATTTAACCAGTTCTTTCACATATGTAATAATGTCTGACACCAATATTGCCCTTTAAATGAGGATTATAACCTAACCACAGGCAGTGATAAGCAGACATATCAAGTGAAGCATACAGAAGCCGATAAGCTCAACAGGAAGGCAAGAAGAAGCGAAAGGGTGCTTATCGACTTATACTCAGTGGAAGAATTGCTCAACATCGATATTCTACAGCAATCATACTAATTATCAATCAAATTAAAACACAGATCCAATTTCGTTTCGTTTTTATAGTTCAAAATTTCGATTTTACTTGCCTTTACTACACTTGGATCTGGAAGCGTTGTTATTTAACTCGTGTTCTGCTTGAAATGAGGGGTCAGCCAATCAAATGGTCTGACGAATCGAGCGTTTGACCTTTTTTGCGCGGAACTGTGGGTAGACAATAGAAATCAAACCAAAGCAAAAGTAGATAAAAAAAATACATGCGGTCGCTAATTGGTTAATCGAATGACTGACGTAATCGGGTCAAATGTCGCTTGCTTGGTACCTGACGTCATAGAACGTGAACTCCCACTATAACTTGTTAGATCTACAAGTAGTGTAGGCCATCGAAAGTATAAAAACGAAACGAAATATATATATCTATATTTCAATCAGATTGACTAATTATTTAAGGGTGTGTAGGTCTTTTCTTTGGGGCTGAAATGGTCGACATTAATTCATGTAGCATGAAAGTATATAAATTTATTTACAGCCAATATTTTATTTCTGTTATTGCAATTTATAATAAGTTATGTTCGGAGAATACGTGTGCAGTTGAATGACAGTTGTTTGCGCTTAGTTAGGGTAATCCACAAGTTCATCGTTTAGTCGATTGTATATGACTCTAAGAATTCTAGCACTCGATTCGTGTGCTAATTTTATTCTCATTTTGTCTTAAATATTTGAAATCAGAAGCCCAACATTTCACTGTAAGATAACAACATCAATGTCGTTTGTATATGGCTCTAAGAATTCTAGCACTCGATTCCCGTGCCAATTTTATTCTCGTTTTGTCTTAAATATTTGATATCAGAAGCCTAACATTTCACTGTAAGATAACAACATCAATGTTAACTGAATTCGACCAGTGTCGACAACTGTGGATGATATTGAGTTAAAGATTTAGCCCCTTTAATTTCTTATTCGTGTTTTGAATGTCGAATATTAAGGAACCTTTACATTTTATTGTTAAATCGGTTAAACTTGTTATAACCTTTCTTCAAAAATGCAGGTTGACATTTTCCAGAACCAGACAGGATACGCCCACATTTTGCAAGAGATGGATAGAGAACAAGCTAAAAACAAACGTGATTTTTTGTACAATCGGGGCAATAATCCAGAAAGTTATGGCCTGAAATGTGCAAATATCAAAAGGGACAGAGATATTTGGGATACATGTATAAAGATATGGTTTAAGTTTCATCTAAATCGGATAAAAATTCTGACCTCTAGAGGGTCCATAACCTTCGTATTACACACTTCTACACAATTTGCGTACAAAGAGCGGCCATTTTGTCGGGCAGTTTCATTTCGATTTTCCCGAAATACGAATTCAACCTTCATTATGGTGGAATGGTGATGTATTTAAACGATTTTTATAATCGGAAAAATATTGTGACCTCTAGAGAATCCGCAAGCTAAAAATGCGATTTTTCGAACAATCAGGGGCCATAATCCAGGAAGTTAAGTTAAGGAACCAAGATCTTAGTGTGTAATGGTGATATATTCATCTGGTTTTTTTTTAAATCGGATAAAAATTGTGACCTCTACACGTGATTTTTTGTTCAATCAAGGGCCATATTTCAGGAAGTTACGATCCGATATGCGCGTATATTGAAAGGAACCAATATCTTTGGGTTATAAACATGTATTTCAAGTTTCATCGAAATCGGATCAAAATTGTGACCTCTAGCTAAAAATGCGATTTTTCGAACAATCAGGGGCCATAATCCAGGAAGTTTAGTTAAGGAACCAAGATCTTAGTGTGTAATGGTGAAATATTCATCTGGTTTTTTTTTAAATCGGATAAAAATTGTGACCTCTACACGTGATTTTTTGTTCAATCAAGGGCCATATTTCAGGAAGTTACGATCCGATATGCGCGTATATTGAAAGGAACCAATATCTTTGGGTTATAAACATGTATTTCAAGTTTCATCGAAATCGGGTCAAAATTGTGACCTGTAGAGGGTGCACAACTTTGATTTACCAGATGTTTTCACTATTTGCGAAACAGGGGCGGCCATTTTGTCCGGCAGTTTTGGCCTGATTTTCAATAAATTCGAACTCAACAAACATTACGGTGTAACGGTGATATATTCGAACGTATTTTTAAATCCATTTTGCGTACACCATGAGGCCATAATTCAGGAAGTTACGATCAGATATGCGCGAATATTGTAAGGAACCGAGATCTTTGGGTTATAAACATGTATCTTAAGTATCATCAAAATCAGATGAACATTGTGACCCCCAGAGGGTACACAACCCTGATACACAATATTGTGACACTATTTGCGAACGAGGGTCGGACATTTTGTCCGTCAGTTTCGGTCCGACTTTTACGAAATTCGAACTCAACCAACCATAGGGTATAACGGTGAAATATTGTAACGGCTTTTTAAATCGGATAACAATTCTGACCTCTATGGAGTCCACAAGCTAAAAACGCGATTTTTCGTACAACCAGGAGCCACAATTCAGGAAGTTGTGGTCCGATATGCGCGTATATCGAAAGGAACTGAGCACCGTGGGTTATAAACATGCATCTCAAGTTTCATCAAAATCAGATGAACATTGTGACCCCCAGAGGGTCCACAACCCTGATACACAATATTGTGACACTATTTGCGAACGAGGGTCTGACATTTTGTCCGTCAGTTTCAGTCCGACTTTTACGAAATTAGAACTCAGGCAACCTTAGGGTATAACGGTGAAATATTGTAACGGCTTTTTAAATCGGATAACAATTGTGACCTCTATGAGGTCCACAAGCTAAAAACACGATTTTTCCAACAATTAGGGGTCATAATTCAGGAAGTTATGGCCCAATATGCGCGAATATCGAAAGGAACCGAGCTCTGTGGGTTATGAACATACATTTTAAGTTTAAACCAAATCGAATACAAATTGTGACCTCTACAGTGTTCACAAGCTAAAAACGTGATTTTTCGTACAATCAAGGGCCATAATTCATGAAGTTACAGTCCTATACATGCAAATATCGATAGGAACTTAGATCTTAGGGTGATAAACCTATATGTCACAAACAATTGTGGACGGACGAACGTCCGACGGACAGGGGCGACGACATAAAAATGTGGGCGTATAAAAATAAATCCAAAACCGTTTTATAAATTTTTTTTTATAATATCCTACTTACACGTATAATCAGGAAAGATAATTGACAGGTTCTCCTTTGCAATCGACCGGAAACCCACATAGCTTACATTTCCATTCATAGGAAGAACACCAAAATGACTTTCTCCAACAACGGACCCTAAACCAAAGTTAACAACTCCGGTGCCCCATTCAAACCAATAGGATCTGTATTCTGTGGTGGAGAAATTAAGACTGGCAGCTATAGCTGAGGGATCTGTTCCTTTATTATATCCACTGCTGGTTATATACATTTCGAAGAACATGATGGAACTATTAAAGAAACCAACATAAAACCGATCTGTCGATTTACATTGAATCGTGAATGAATTTTTAGTTGTTACATCTTGAAACTTTCTGTAACCGAATCTGTCAATGAAATAGTCATACCCTGAAAATAGAGAATATATAATATTTATAACATAGATACAATATAATATATATAAAATACAAAAACTATAAGATATTGCTTCGAATTACCAATCCAGTTGACAAAATGTACTCGCTACGAGTGATGTGAGTTTTTTTGGAAATAGTATGCATTTTTCGTAATGACAGTACTGTACTATAGGCGTGGGCCGAGAATCAGTTGGCTCGTTTTAAGAAATTGTCACAGCTTTGTTAAAATCAGAATTACATCCCAATTTACATGTATTGAAACTCGGCTTTTACTTTTCTGTGATGGTGCATGTGCGACTTGGGCGAAAATTGTAGAAGTCGTTCGGTCGAAATAGAAGCTTTGTGACCATTAGAACATACAGTATCCGGGAAATTTCAAGCTTATCTTACACTTTTCTGTGATGCCCTTGTGAGGCTGGGCCGAAAGCGTGCTCACTCCTTGGGATGAGACTGAAATAGTTCCACTACTGATGAATTCCGTTTTGCTCCAGCCACAGTAGTAGATCGTCTCAAGGAGTTCCTTTGAACAAGTTTTGTTGTCATTTGACCACAAAAAAGTTACTGGCTTATAAAATTTCTAATTACATTGACCCTAAACTGTACTGTACATAGCTTAACATATGATAAACCAATTCCCATTTAACTAAAGGTGAAACCTTGCCGTATAATATATGATTTGATTAAACCCAACTGCCGTGCGAAATTTCAGTTCATTTTAAAATGACCGCCGAACCAGAATAATGTGATTTTACGTCACTCGAAAATACAGAAAAACTGTTCGGTAAGATAAGATTAAGATTTCAGTGTTCCACTCCTCACTATTTGTAACATAATTACTTATTTCCATGCAAACTGTGATGATATGTGTTGAAAATTTGCAACTGACTTCATTTTACTTGCGCAAAACGTCTAATAGTGAATCAGTTGTTGCCTCGTATAAGACAGGAAGCGGGTACAATATTGTACCTAGGATTAGACAAGACAGCTAATTTAAATCATATTAGAACCCTTGCTAACCAGAATTCGAAGAGTAGATCATAGAACAAAATGAATACTCAGCAGAAATTCACAGATCCCTATTTACAGGTGACTATGACGAATACGAATAAAATTACGGCGTATGATCTTATAACAAAATGGCAGAACTGTGATGATAGACGTTAAATGCGCTTACGATTTTTATACGTATATTATCGTCGCCCCTGTCAGTGGACACTCTACTGGTAAGAATGAATATCCGATTTTGACAAAACTTGTCCACACACTAATGGTCACAATTTTTATCCGATTTAGATAAAACTTTAAATGTATAGCGGACCGCTTGTAATCCTTCTAGAGGTCACAATTTTCATCCGATTTATAAAAAAGACCTTCAAATATATCACCGTTACATCATAATGATGATTAAGTTTGACTTTCGTGAAAATCGGACCTAGACTGCCTGACAAAATGGCCGCTCCCTGTATGCAAATAGTGTTAAAGTATGTAATACTCAAGTTGTGGACCCTCTAAACATCGCAATTTTTATCCCATTTTGATGACACATAAGAATATGTATATATTCCAAACATCTCGGTCCATGTAGATATATTTATGCATATCGGGCTATAACTTCCTGGATTATAGGCCCTGGTTCGAAAAATCGCTTCTTTTTTTTCAGATTGCTCTCTGCTGCCCTCCTCTTGCAAATGTGGGTGTATTTTGCATGGCAACCGATGGTTTTCATTAGCTCCGTAGGAAAAAAAGAAGTAGAACCTTAAACCCGTTTTCATTTTTATTCCTTTCGTGACTGGATAAAGCAGGTGGGGGCGTACCTAGCCGGAAAACTAGACTCCCTATTGATCACTGCCACACGATATGATTGTTTTCCACCCGCTGCCCCCCCCCCCCCATGTGGTCAAGAGCGGCAAAATAATAAGATTAGAAAACTTAGCTAAAACTTTTGTTACAAAATGTCACACATATGAAAGTGACCACTTCAAGATATACTATTCAAAAAAAGTAGGGGATATTTGATTTTGGGGGCATAATACTAAAATATGCAAATGACTACGAAAAAAGTCACTATAGAACCTAACAGAAGAAACATTTCCAGTTACATGTGACGCCCAAACGCACCAATAGCTACCGCATGGAATGCAGGTGATGCTTGGGATCATCATGGGGGTCCAACCCAAGATTTGCACGACTCTGACTTTGAATGTTACAGTCATTGTGGCATTGAATTCCAGGGTGGAAACATCAGTTTAATTGTTTTAGTGACCAGAAAACAAATTTTGATATGCGTCGGCTTACCCAAAATGAAAGGTTACGTGCCCTTGGCATGCTACAGATCGGCACAACACAGGCGGTTGTGGCGCGGACGATGAATGTTTCTCAGTCTGTCATAAGCAGGCTATGGTCCAGATACCGTGATACACAATCTGTACAGGACAGACCACGCTCAGGTCGATAACTCAAGCCCAGGATCGATTTATCCGTAACTTGGCCTTGAGAAATCGTGTCATCACAGCAAATCAGATCAGCGCTCGTCTTCAAACAGACACTAGTGTGAGAGTGAGTGGCCAGACGATTCGGAATCGACTGCATAGGGGTCACCTTCGCGCCCGACGTCCTCGCGTGATCCCTTGTTTGAGAGATCATCACATTCAGGCAAGACGTCGTTGGTGTAGGGATCGTCAACACTGGGATAATCGACGCTGGAGCAATGTGATGTTTTCAGATGAGTCAAGGTTCACTGTTGATTTTTTGGACAGACGTAGGAGGGTGTGGCGTCGTCGAAACGAGCGCTTCCAAGACGTTAACGTCATCAGACATGATCGATTTGGGGGTGGTTCTGTTATGGTGTGGGGAGGCATCACTGTTGCTGGAAGAACGGCTTTCCATGTTGTTGCAGGGCGTGTTACAGGCCAGTACTACAGGGACAACATCTTGGCAGTCCATGTTGTGCCGTTCGCACGACGTCATGGCCGCCGTTTCATCTTCCAGGATGACAACGCAAGATGTCACAGGGCCAGGATCGTTACAGGTTACCTCCAACAACAGAACATCACCACATTACCTTGGCCAGCACTGAGTCCCGACCTCTCCCCCATCGAGCATGTCTGGAACATGCTTGGACAGAGGTTACGTCAACGTCAACAACGTCCTGCCAATGTCCAAGAACTTGCTGCTGCGTTGCAACAGGAATGGGACAATCTGGACCAAAATGACCTTAGACGTCTCATTAGGAGTATGCCACGTCGGATCAATGCTTGTTTGGCAAACAGAGGAGGATTTACCCGTTACTGACTTGGTTGTGATGCTGTGGTAACTTTGCTGTTTGACCCCGGGTATCATTTTACCCTTATAATGGTCAGTCTGTGCCTTACTTAGTCTAACGATCATTTGGAATAAATCGATGAATGTGAACTTCATTTCATTTTGTCATTTGTTTCTTCGTCAGTTTCATTAGGTGACTTTAATAACACTTAAAAATCAAATATCCCCTACTTTTTTTGAATAGTATATTTTTTGGCGGTGTTGCCGTTTTGCCAGCTATTTCACCACTGCAGCTTATCTGAATGGAATACTTGGGTGTTGACCACATTTTATAAGGATCAATCTCTATCGGGTTCACAAGCTTTTCCCGACACAATATAATTCTGGAACAGAACGTCCAGGATTGCTGAAAATGAACATGGGCCAACCTTTCTGATTCCGATGTTTCACACCACACTTGAAAAGTAACGGCGTTAATCTCCTCACAGCTCTGTACCAAATTTTAATAAAAACTGTAGTCTCTTAATACATTAACAACGTTATCAGAAAACGGGGTAGGTTGAAAAATTGTATACCAAAAACTAAATCAAAATTGTTTTTATTGAGAGAGAGAGAGAGAGAGAGAGAGAGAGAGAGAGAGCGCATTCAATAATTCGCTATCTCGTAGTGGTTTTTAGCAGAGGGTGGGGGGACTGGTGGACCCAGAGAAAACCCACGATGTACTCTTTGTCACGTAGAATCTTAAGATCAAAACATCGCCACTTGACTCAAAGGGAGACCTTATGATCTAAAGCGCACGTGTTGAGACCACTTTACCGTCCAACATCCCGTTTCCAAGAAAACACAAAAATAAGTAAATACATAAGATTTCTAATTAGCAAATGGCACAACTACTAAAGGCGTGGGACACAAAATACACAAATTTGAATTGCCTTTTTCTATTGAATTGGGCATAGAAATAGTTCAATGAAAATCGGAATTGAGAAATAAAAACAAGAAATAGCTTCACGGTAGACCTATGTCTTGAACTATGAAGTAAATAAAGGTGTTTTTATTTAATCATCGATATGTTACCATTCGAATTCGGTGTAACATAATAGTAAAATAATATGACTGCTTTACGGGGTTTTGTTTATTCATCAATACGATTTGAATTCGATGTAAAAGAATACTAACAATTTCACTGTTTACGTGTTGCATGCATTCGAAATTAAAAAGTAAAACTAAATCCACTTCTCCAAATTTAATTTTACATCAGCAGCCTGCATCGGCAGGGGTGGTTCTTTTTCGCTAAAATGTTCTGAACCATCACCGTCGTTACACGCAATTATAATGTTCAGAGCGAAATCAATGTCTGACAAGCTGTCACTTTAATTGTAGGGTCATTCTGTCTGTAATTGATTGTGTTTTTGTTAACGTTTTACGTTACTATTTTTTTAAAAAAATAATTCTGAAATGCGTTACACGGTGAACTTTTACTGTAGCAAAAGATGGACGGAGAACACGCCAAACAAAAGATTTTTCATACAATCAGGGGCTATAATCCAGGAAGTTACGGCCCGATACGCACAAGAATAGATATCTAGAGGAACCCAGATTTTTGGAATATAAACATATTAAGTAAGTTTCATCCCATTCGGATAAAACTTGTGACCTCCAGTGGGTAAATAATTTTGGTTTTACTTTTTAACACTATTTGCGTACGGGGAGTAGCCATTTTGTCAGATTGTTTCAGTCCGTTTTTCAACTGAAATTAGTGTGTAACGGGGGAATATTTCAACGGTTTTTAAAGTCGGATAAAAATTGTGATTTCTTGAGTGTCAACAAGTTAAAAACGTGATTTTGCGTGCAATCCAAAGTCATAATCCATTCGCGAAAAAAGGAACCGTGATCGTTTGGATACAAACACGTCATATCTCAAGTCTCGTCAAAATCAAATAAAAATTGTGATCTGTAGATGGTCCAGAACAAGATATCCACATGAAAATATGGGCGTATAACAATTGTAGCCTCTATCCGCGTTTACAAGCCAATCTTTTGTTGTCAAATTTCTTTTGTCTCCGTCAACAAAATGTTCACTACAAATTGCAACGTGATCAACGAGCACATTTTGGTTTTCACTTGTTTCCAAGATTTTTATGTTCCATGCCTTTTTAATAAATTATCACCTTTTAAGTTCCGAATCACCTTCTGAATGATTATATATTGAGGTTTTTCACAAGGACCTATATTACACGATTGACGAACCATTTTAATCAACTGTTTTTGTTTAGAAATAGAAATGTTATCCAACGTAACGTATGCCTGTACCAGAATATGTACGGCTGGAAGTTGCCGCAAGTTTTTCTTAAGATCGCTATATTAAACCTCTCTAATACTTTAGATCTCCGGTAGATCACTCTACATGCGAGTTTCTCAATATAGGGAGGGGGGGGGGTAGTAACTGACGCTCTAATATCTGCATAAATCCCCTCAGTATTTGATGGATTTGACTTGTCGGGTTTAGTGCCCGCTTCTACCTCGGGTGACATTACCTGAGCAATTCGACCAAAATAGTAAAACCATCAACAGACTCGTTTGTGGTGCCTCCATATTCTTTGATTCCTCTGTTAAAATAAAATGAAATAAGCTTTAAAAAATAAAAAACAAAGTTTGCCAACTAAAGGGAGATAATGCTGCATGTCGATTTCCATGCTTATGCCGATTGTATCAACTTGTATTTGATTAAAAATGAATCAATTTTTAAAATTTATTTTAAGAAAATTGTATTTTTAGAAGTAGACATCACATTCAGATGGTTAATATAAGTGCCATTTTGGTTTCTGCACAAGACACGTCAAGCTATTTTCTTTCATGAGCTCCTATGAAACAAGACTGCCCCGCACAAACTGTCTGGCAGTGGTCATTCATGATTCCTGTGGTGGTACTAAACAACTTCAAAGCTGTTTTAGGTGGTACAGATTTGAGCTAATCTAGCTTAGCTTTGGTCTGGAAATTAGATAACTCTTGTCAGGGATACTCCATCACTACAAATGTCTGGCAATTACACAGCTCTGTCAGGGGTACCCCACCACTAGAAATATCTGTCTGAGTGTTTTTGTAATACCTGAAGATGTACGGTACATTGCTGTGCGATTTTCATGTGATACACTTTTAAGCTAATCTAGACTAGTTGGGGGCATGGCATTTTGGGCGTGGAATACCACACCCACCGCCAGAAACCCAGCAGACTTACATTCTGATGATACCAGATATACATACATTGATACCATACAGGAGAAAATTGGTACACTTTTAAGCTAGGTTAACCCCCTGCGCTCCTGCTCTATGATATGATTGATTTTTTTTTTCAATCGCCATGACGATAAAGCATTACATCGCTTTTATTTAGTTTCGTGTGTTGTAAATTGGGGGGAAGCTATAGTATTTTTATCAAACGTTCAGATCAACGTCATCACCTTGTCGGAGCAGAACAGTATGACGTTAAACCCATATCATTTCATTTACTTGTACCACTGGCCAAGGTCTCGGTTGCGACCTCAAAAGTGTTTCATTTCGATACACGAGAGCGTGTTCGTTTCTTTTATTCTAATTTGTTTGAAGTAGACATTTGTTATCTAAGCTACAGGTATACTTGCCCACTTAGAAAAACCTGTAAGATGTTTTATGGCCGTCATGTTGACTGGTTATTAAATATGACAGGTCGATTTTGGCTATTATACTAGATAGATAATTTGATTGACGAGTATACTATTTTCCTAATTATGTATACATCTCATGCTGTCAATTATGCATATGGACAGTCCATTTGTTGATTACGCTATTTTACCGAGATTTCGTCTAATGGTTTCGAGGCGGGTGTAAGCTTAATCTTCTGAACACGTGTGACCGTTATTTATCATGTATTTTTTACACGGTTAGCAGTCCATTTGCTTATTTCACTATTTATCTGATAGGACTTCCAATCTTGTCTAATGGTTTGGATTGTTCATATTTGTTTTTTTTTTATTCACCATCCGTTAGAGGTGCGGGACGACGGGCTGGAGAATCAGCATGGACAAGTGAATCGCACGGTAATACATAAAAACGTGTAAATGTAGAAGTGCACGTAAAATAAATCGTGACACTTGAAAACGCAGGCATAGCGTATACCGTGCATGTTTAAAGGTCAGTTGTTGGAGACTTGCACTCCACATAGTTTCAAAATCTGGCCCAGCTACCGCCTAGTAGAACCGTTTACAGATGGTAACTTTGTGTCTACAACATGACCATTTTTTTTAAATACTTGCCTTCTAAACTTAATTATTACAACCATACACCTCCACCGAACATGAGGCAATATTGATGACTTTCTAATGTCTTGCAACCGAACATGACCGTCGCAAATATCTCTAAAACATTTCAATAATATTGTGAAAATAAAAATACACCAACCTTATACCGAGCAAAACACAGTTCGATCTTTCCTCGGCAGTAACTGCTCACTTAATTTACTAACATCGTAAAATGCGTGATGATAATGTCTCCCGACTCGTGAAACTAACTAATTCATAATACAAAATCAATGCAGGCGGCGTTTTTTTTTTCCTTTATTATGGTTAATATAATGTTTATAGTGTTATTGTTTAAAGAAGCTAAACCGCCAATATTTGGTATCTAGAAATTGGCATAAAATGGGTCGCAACGCATATAGTAATATTAATAATGTTATATGAATGTATATGAACTGATTTACATTCAATCGTTTCCGTTTTTACTCTAATTTCAAATCAGTTATGTTCGGCGAAATACGCGAGAAGTCTCAATCGAACGACTATCTATAGCGTCCGGTTATTCCAATCTACACCAGTAGTATTTATTGCGCCCGCTCTCCAGATAAAAATATGGCTTCACCGTTTGACATGATTTTTGGAATATGTGTAGCCTTGTTCTTCGAGTCTCTTTTTACAACCTGCGTTGAAACGTACCCTAGAACACGGATCGTGTACAAATGGTAAAATGTTTATTTTGTCTTAAATTTTATATTATCAGAAGCCCATCTTTTCCCGCGGGGGGGTTGGATGGCCGAATGGTTAGCACGTGCGCGCTGTATCGTAAGATCTGTCATTGAGTCAACTGGCGTGGGTTCGATTCCCCGGTTGTACGTAGGGGTCGCCTGTCCAACCTAGTGGGTTTTCTCCGGGTCCTCCGCCCCCACCCCCTCCACTGTTAAAGACCCCTACGCGCAAGCGAATTGTTAAAATAAAATTGACCTAGTTTGTGTCGAGTGGACGTTAAACCCCATTTCCCTCTCACTCTCACTCTCTCTCTCTCTCTCTCCCATCTTTTCCCGGTAAGATCACAACATGAATGTTGATTTAAATTGACAAATAATTCTTGTTTTCAATGTCGAAGGCATTGGATGATATTGAGTTAAAGATTTAACTAACTTTAAAATACTGGTTGCTAGTCGGAAATTGCTATTTCAATATATTTGTGTTTTTGTATCGCACAATTCTACATGAAAATAATGTTGGATGTATCTAAATTTGTGTCGGATGTGGCAAGAAATGAATCCTTTTGGTTATCGGAGAAGAATCACGGTGAAAAGTAGACGGTAAGGATTCCCAAATAGCCTTAAAACCGAGATGGGGCAAAAGCCTTATTTTCATATTAGTTGTATATAGCATGCAGCATTAACGTATAGAAGGGTATTAGTCTGGTCAAACTAACATTTGACGTAGAACAAATTGCAACAAAAGGTTTTTTGATTTCTATTGACTCATTATGATGTCCTAAGTAAGGAAAAGAAAGTTTACCAAAATCGGAGTCCAAAAAAAGACAGGGGGCGTGACCAAATCCAAGACGGCGGCTGTCGATCAAAAATTGCAAATATCTTTAAACCTATTGGATTTAGACACCATAAATGTATTGCGGACAGATAGAAAGTCGTTATCAGCGAGTCCAAAAATTGCGACGTTATGTCTCTATGACGTCATGACGTTGCTGTGACGTCACAACGGCATATCAGACGTCGCATTTCTTCCAAAATTTGTCCATTTACATATCTTAACAGCAGAAACGAATGATGATGCAGAAAAGAGTACATAACCATTATGTTGGGTTGATAAAGAAGAACAATGTGTTACAATTACGGAGAAGGGGGCTAAAAGTATAACTACTGCTGCATTGCCGATAGGTGATACTATTAGAGTAGCTGCAGGAACACGGATTGATTCCATTTGTTGAAGAAATGAAATGAATGAGGATACATCCTATTGTTCTGCTCGGATTCGGCTCCCTTAGTGTGCTATGAGGGAAAATTTGCCCTGCAATGGCGCAACAGCCTACTCGTATATCGAATTTCATCAACCACGAGGTCTTTTACTGGAGAAGTAGTGCATCAAAGGGCGAATGGGTGGGGCTGATAAATTTTGACATTTGGCCCAAAAATCATCAGAAAGATTTATATTTTAACACCGGTTTTAAAGATGTACACGAGATGTGTTACAAAACCAACTTTGGCGGTAATGTGAACAGCGCCCCCTGGTGGTGTCCCCAAAAGCATTACTTTAAAGTGGCGTTTTGTGGGTCCCGATTATATGTGGACAGATAGGAACTCTCAATTCCAGAGAGTTCAAAAAGGTGAAAATCGGTCAGCCCTGTCCATGCAACATTCCATGCACTTCCACAGTACAAGCACAAACTGGGTGTCAAACATCGAGTCGCTGAGCTCCTTAATGCTGCTTTTTTTTTTATCTATTTGGCCACGACATAATCGCCCTCATTCGGCTTTATCCTCAAAATTGATACTATCGTCTTTTTACTAGTTATGTTAGGCCACATTTTGAATATTTGTCCCGATACATTTTCTGATTATTTATTTCAGACAGTTTGAAGGTTGGTTTTTACAAGAATACGACTAGCTGAATCCGAAGAGCTTGGGCACTACCCCCCCCCCCCCCACACACACACACCCAAAAGTGACGGCAAATTCCGCTAGGAAGCCAAATTCAAAATGAGACCCATTTTTGAGAGAAATTCAGGTATGAAATATGTTCCACACAAAGGTATTCCTATATGACCACTATATTTGCATCGGCGGTTACGATTGGGGGGACATTTCGAAATGAAATGGGGTTTAACATCCAACAGTTCTGCCCCAACAGGGATGATGAAGACGGGGGGGACATTTCAATGTTAATTGTAGTAATGTGATGGTGTAATAAACTTGAAGTTTTCGAGGTCGCCGAATTCATATCTCAACTGCTTAATTTACTATTTTCTTCCATAATCTACTGAACATTTTGTCGAATTCGAGTACCATATTGGTACCATTTTGCGGTTTAGATGTTAATTTACCTACCCCGAACACCTACTATTTGACGTATTATGCCATCACATTGCTAATATCACATTCCCGCTAAATGTGGCCATATTTTGAATAAAGTCATCATATTGGAATACTAATTTGTATTGGCATCATCCCGATTCTGAATCGACACATATTGAAGATATATAATCCATCAAAACACATTGGGTGGACTTTATTTCATGGTCTGCGACAACGAAATCCAGGCCCTGGGACAAGCAACTCGGCGAAACGTTTTGAAAGACACACTACAGACTTTTGGCATGCGTAAATTCCTGGTCCGTGTCGCGTATCCGTATGGATTTTGCGCGTGACGTCATCAATGTGCGTGTATTTCTCATACGTGATACGGCACACGCATACGGCAGCAGGTATCGAACAGCTTTCATACATTGCCATCTTTTTACCGTCTTTCTTTCTATCTTTGCTACTTTTAGACGCTAAAATGTTGTATCATATCGTTTTTATGAATCTGTGCGTATCCTAAACACAAAGGTGTTAGTTGATGTGATTTTAACCATGATAAAGACTGGAATTTAATCATTATTTTGATGAATTTTCACACTTTTCCTGTCTGCATGTCTGCATGATGGTTGATCTACGCGCTAAATTTAAAGCGAGAATTTCATATTTTCTAAGAAAGTCAAAACATAATGATTTTTATGTTTTTGCTCAATAGGTTGTCAACTCACTATTATACGATCATAGGTATCATTCTCACACTTAAAAACCATTCACCCCGGAAATAATAACACAATTACCTCCCTTGTTTTTTCTATTCCCCCATGGAATAGCTATCTTCAAACGTTTGAATTTGAAGTTGAAAATGATATTTTTGCCAATTTCTCAACTGACAATAGTGAATTATAGGATTATTCTTTAACAAGCTAGGACTGTTTATAAATACCATCTATTTTAAGGCTTTATTTTAATACATTTTAAAAATACAACTTAACAATATGAAATTATCGCTTTGGAGGTGGGACATCGCAATCATTTTATTCTACAGTAAGGGGTATAAACTTTCTGAAATGATACCACAGTGAAACCAAAAATGCTGCCGAGTCGAAGTCTGTCTGCATGCTGGTTGATGTACGTGCTAAATGTAGAGAGGTTATACCTTGCAATTCTGTAAATGATTTTATTCTATGGTAAAGGGGTAGAAACTTTCTGAAATGATACCATGGGGAAACCAATAATTGCTGCCGAGTCGGAAGTCGAAGATTTTTAATAAAATCTTTTATTAATAGCTGAGCGACTGTCGAGCGATTCACTCCCTTTGGGAAAGTGTAGGCTAGGCACTCGATTAGTACTGATGGTGATCTTGGTAGATATCTTCCATCATGCTGTAATAGAACTAAGCTACGCTCAGCGGCTCATGTATACGTACGGGACATGAAACTCTAAAACTAGAGACTTTTGGCAAGTAGAATTTTTCCCATCCGTATCACGTATCCGTATCATCACGTGATACGTTGCGTCAATGTAGTTTTTAGTGTTTTGGCAGACTTTTCGCGCCGCGTACGTATGGCTAGCTGAGCTGATGTCAATTATAACATGATGGCAGTTAGTGACTAGCCTACAAATTCCTGAAAGGAGTAAAGTCGCTCGACAGTCGCTGAGTTATTTAAAATTTAAAAAACATTTAGTGTCGAATCTTATTAAAAAAAATCTTCGACTTCAACTCGACAGCAATTTTTGGTTTCTCTAATGCATCATTTCAAATAGTTTATACCCCTTTTACAGATTTGCAAGGTCCCACCTCCCTAAATTTAGCACGTAGATCAACCAGCATGCAGACAGACAGGAGAAATATAAAAATACCGCGAAAAGCTCATCAAAAGTAATGATTAAATTCCAGTCTTTGCCATGGTTAAGTCTCTAGCGTCACTTGGCGTATATCTGAGGTAACTGGAGGTCACTTTACTAAAGCACATTGGTCGGAAAAAGTTCCGCAATTGGCAAAAATATCGAAAAGGTTCGAGATTTTTAGCGCCTAATAAAACGAAGACGAAAGTTTCGCGTTCAGTTTCGATTTTAATGATCGGATACCAGTCAGCCTACCTACAGCGATCATTCATTCATTGTTGCGTTCTTCAGGCCCGGACTTGACCCGGATACCCTGAC